TGCTGTTAAATTTCTACAACTCGATGCGAAGCAAGGGAGGGTGACGAAAAACGGGCAAGTTTCAAACATTCGTAACGAAAGCTTTACAGACTTAAAGATACCTCAGGTTTATTTCATACGAACGTACAGCATACACACCTCGTTGTTCCGTTCGAAGCGACCGGCCGGTCGAGATTATGTCCTCTTTTTTTTTTTTCTTTTTTGCATCGTTCGAATGGTGAACGATCCACCGTCCATCCGTCGCTTCGGCCTGGACGACTGACTGATGAACACCGAACGTTACAAAGTAATATGTATCTCTCTCGCGATATGTTAATGTCAATATTTACTTAGTCAAAGCTCCCGTCGCAACGGGTCGTCGCGACGGTTCGGGACACCGTGTAATATACATTAGCTAATACACTGCGGGGTTTAATTCCGGCGGTCCGGAAAAACTTTCGAGGTCGCATCCGCCGCGTAGCCTAAACCAGATGACTCCCCGCTGGTCTCTTCTTCTTCTTCTTTACTTATTGGCTCTCGCCTCCAAAGGAAATGATAGGAGGACGATATACGGCCAGATCACTCGACTCCCCGCTGGTAAAACGCGGGCAACGCGAACCCATTGTTATCCGAGGCGTTTAATCGTTGCACTCGGACGTTGATCGCGTCGCTTGAGACGAGACGGTGCTTTCTGGCAAGCGATACAACGATCATGATTAGCTTGGTTTTTATTAACACTGGCAGATAATAAGAATGTAACGATTCAGTGTGTTTACTGTGTGGATCGCTTTCTAATTGGTGGCACAATTAGTCGACTCAAGTGTCATTCTATCTCTGTTACTCATTGAATACCAAGAAAGATAGAATGATACTTACGTCGACTTGTGTCGTCAAATGGAAAGCATCCATTGTATCATCTGTGTCTGTTGCTGGAAGGCACCTGAGGATTTGTCGTCGATCGATCGACAAGCGGAAGTACATTCGCGTTCGCGCTCGGGGGACAACCGAGCGCACCAAGTTCCAATTCAGAAAACGCGTGTCTCTCTCTCTCTCTCTTTCTCTTTTTCAAAGTCAGCTGCTGCATACGTACGCGGTAATCGTAAATTCCCCGATTCAGATCAATCAGATCGGAATCGGGCTTTCGATCGATTCGACGGGCGGGCCAGTCGTTATGCGAGCGATCGTGTGATGGTTCGGGGAAAGGGACGAAAGGGATTGTCCCATTCGGGGGGGAGGGGGAGGGAGGAAGGGGGGGGTGGAGAGTGATCCTGTCAGAGGTACACAACGATCGCTTCGCATTGGTGAGGGAAAGGGGGAGGGTTGATTTATCGATACGGAGCTCTGTCCAGCACGTTCGCCGAGATACCGAAAGAAAGATTGTTGTTGCGGGTTAGAAAGCTAATGGCCGGGATTGTCATACCAAAACGGATCTCATATCGATTTAATGAAGTGTAATTTTTTTTTTTCACACGGTATGTACGGCCGAGCCCCGCATTGCTGAATAGCAGCGCAGTTGCCGTATTCCAGATTGTATCGTGAAGAAAATTGTTAGTGACGCGAACGATAGAATCTGCTGTACGCGACTCGGGATGGCGTTGGAATAAGGAAGGAAGTTGGTTTTTTTTTTTCGAGAGATTCGTATATGTAGCTCAATCGAGCTTAGGCTATTTGCGCTCGGCCGGCCGTACAGCGCGAAGAAATATTATTATTAATATTATATTATATTATATATTATATATTATATATTATATGATTATTATTATTATTAATTTTTATTAATTATATTATTATTAATTATTATTGCATAAAAGTCATTGTCGTCGTCATCTTAACCCTTAACACAATGATTAGCGTTACTCATAGTACGTTAAGTAATTGTTAAAGCGCGAAATCTTTATTAATATTACGTTAGGCAAACCGCTAATATATCGCCCCGCGTTAAGAGGGTATACTTTCAGGACGGATCGCGCGTTCGAAGTGATTTAGAAACATCGAGCAGACCATGAAATCGGAAACAATCTCGCAAGACGTGCAACCAGCGACTCTATCATTCTCTATATCCGTATGATCGCTGCACATTCAACACACACACACACACACACACACACACACACACACACACACACACACACACACACACACACACACACACACACACACAAACAAACAAACAAACAAACAAAGAAGCTTCTATTTATCGATAATGCGTATAATTATAACGCTGTGATTATGTCGCATTATTTGACATTCGATTATTCTAACGTAAATGACTGAGAAATTACGATGCAACACGTTAATTTGAGTGTACAAATTTTATCGTTAAGACACATCGTAATAAAGGTATCTAACAAAACCGTATATTATCAAGTTATTGATTTATCTCATCCGTATTATGTGCATCTTTTCTCTTTCTTAGTAGAGAATGTATAGAAAAAGATAAATCATCTGAAAATTGTGATCAACTATGCGCGCGATTTATACATGTGTTATACCAACCGACCTCTTTTATTTCTTTACGACCTGTATGTACATTTATCTTACCGTTCCGCGGGAATATAACGATGAAAACTGCTGTGAAAACTCAGATGTTTGAAGAAAGAAGACGCGTAAAAAAGAAAAGAGAAAATATGTGACGACGATTCTGCACGATTGCCAATCTATCTATATTGCGCATCTTTATGAAAAGAATAATTTTGCTGAAGTACATAAAAATTAAGCCAGATATAGTCCTAAAATAATTATAAAGGATCATGTAACATGAGTAATTGCATTGGACGCTCAAGCTGATTGCTAGAATGTCAAAACTTTTTGCAACATCGTTATCGTACTTGAACGTCCTACATTTTGGCGGTCCAACGTAATATAATTTTCAGATTTATATCTGATTTAATTTTTATATATTTTAAACAAAATTGTTTTTTCCGCGTTAACTTTCGTCCGGGCGGTGTTATAAGATCCTGAAAAGTTAAATTCGCGAATCCGCCAAGTTTTTCGCTACTCGATTGCTGAGCAATGGATCCTTGATAGTGCGAATGTTCCAGGTAATACGTCGGCGCGTTTTTGTAGTAACCACGTTTCTGTCTTTTTTTTTTTTTTTTTTTTTTTAAATACGCGCTGCGAAATCTCGCAGCAGTGCTCTTGCTCAAAGCACATACGTACGACGGATTTGCATTCGTCGACGCAGATATCACCAAAAGGTAGTTCACGTCGAATACCTCGGATGCTCGCGGGATATAATGAGACATAATCGCAGCTTCATTCTCTCGTTGCGTAAATCTTTACACTAGGTATTGTACATAGCGTATATAGCCGACTCGAACACCCGTTTTACGCGAGCAAAATATTTCAGACGCAACTGGACTGCGATAGCTTGATAATTCCGGGTGAGACTGCTCATATAGGATTTTACGACTGGCTGCTAAGTTCGAATATTGGCCCTGCAAATCAATACCTGACCCAACGTTGAATAGATAACTTGGGCAAGAGTGGCAAATGATAATGGTCCACGAATAGTAAACGATAATGATTCAAGAATAAACGAGCATAAAAAGTTTTATATACCATGAAATTTCTGTAAAAAAAATTATAAATAATTACATAGATTATCTTTATACTGAGAAAGATGCTAAATCTAAATGTTAAAAATATTTTTTTAAAGAGAAACTGTTTGTACTTATAAATATTTTTATTACAATTACCAGTATATATAATTTACTAGACGTGGCCCACTCTCACTGTAACACTTGGCTATAATATTGATCTATTATCGTATGCCGTATTATCGTAGAAGTAAATAATCGTCCGATTATTTGTCCAATAATAACCCGATATCGAATGACAGAGTCTTGGCTAGGTCAATGATTAATTACCATAGATCAGCCAAGCGTTTAGCTGTATTGTGCGTCTGGCCATTCTGTATGGGCCGTCTGCCAGGATCTATCCCTGTGCGCATAGTTTAACGGCGATCGCCGTGCGAGTCGCGGTTTACAGATTGCAAAACTCTCTTTCGTAGACAATTTCTATACAATTTACAAGAGGACGCGGGCGCAGACGAGATCATTCGCCACGTTAAATGCATATCTTGCGGATATTGGGTCTCGCTGTCGAATCAAACGCGTCCCGAGGCGTCGCTCCTCGGGGACGTGAACACATCGCGACTGCGCTTTTATAACGGCGATGCCTGTTCACGAAGATCACTGTACTGCCGAATCTTTGTATTTTATCCGTTCGTCGAAGTTTCCTGTCCCTGTTGAGCGTGTCCGTTTTGCGAGTAGCACATGCACAGCAATCACGGCGCAGCGTCAACGAAGCGTAACTCGAGCAGACAATTGCAAATTGTGTGCGAATTGCGTGCACGTGGCGACTCGGTACGGAAGGATAAAATCGTGCTCGTCGTATATATATCGTCGAAGGGGATGGATCCGCGTCGAGCGGAATCCTTAAGAAGAGTCGTTCCAAAATGCCTGTCGAATCCCTTGCAAGCTAACGTCTGTCTCGCGACGGCTAAACTCCGTCGCTTCGTTTAAGAACCTAGTAGAGTCTCAGCATGTTAACCGAAATACCGTATAGGTGAATAAAAGTAGAAAAGGAAAAGATTGTAAACGCTGTAAATTGCCTTCTGCGGAAAAACTGGCATTCTCCGGTGCGTTTAAGATTAAGCCGATAGCGTAGCTTATCACCGTAGCCGGCCGTAGGCCGGGGAATCGCATAATTGCACCGCCGTTACTGAAAATAGTGAACGTATGTACACAGCTAAAAGCGTGATATCCGTGTATATAAGCGCAAAGTAGTGTGTTGCGGTGTAAAGTGGTCGCGCAAGCTCCTTAGAAACCCCAGATTTGATATTTTTTCCGCCGTACATGCATCGAGTGCTTATACACTTCGCGCAATACGCGCGGATTATAATGGTTATTAATTAATTAATAACCGTTAACTTTAAGGATCATAACACGAGAAATTTGCTGAGATTTGTGCCGCGGCAATTGAACTTCCGGTCTTTTCTTAACAAATTTACAACATCAATTTTGAAACGATAAAGATCGACGATCTTCCAAATGAAATGATCTGTTTTATAACGAAAGCTAAAAAAACAATTGCATTTATGTGCTCAGAGCGATAAGGAATAGAAAAGACGACTTAAAAAAAATTTCTTTAGGGCTATTATAAAATTTCGCGGAGTCTTATATTGCGGTACGAATCTCGTGTCAATTTTGCTCAGAGCAATTGTTATCTTTTGTAAAGGTTATAAGTTACGTCGCTGGTAGCACTTACGATCGCCTCCACTACGCATACTCGCATGTGACAATAGAATATTTGCCACCGATGAACGTTAAATTTGCTCACTTTTTATTTGTCAACGATTAACACGATCAGTTCGCTGAATCTTGTGCAACTTTCGGCGACGAGCGCCGTAAGATTTCAATGAAACACATACATAGATAGGACAGCTTTCGTCTGCGCGTTTCGGAGGCGGGCGATATTCTGGACGATTATAGTTTCGTTGAAACTCGACAAAGAAGAAAAGAAAAAACAGAATACTTTGTATTTTTCCGGAGAATTGTCCCTCTGTCTATGCTAAGAATCATTATCGCAACTTTTTCGTAATAAAATCTATGCGAAGGTCAGCACGAGTATTTGAATCGACCGTTTCCCGCATCGCCAGTGGCGAGTTTTACCGCTATGGAAAAAATGAAACTGACGCGAAACCGATTTTTCTTGCTATTCTTGCAACCGATATTCCTGTTCCTGTACATCCCGTGTCACGCTTTACGTAAATATAGAATTACCATGATTTCCATGCGACTCACATAGAAAGAAAACGCCAAGATTATCGGGACACAAAGTCCTTAACATATCGCGAATCGTCGAATCGTTGAACTTTCTCATGCACCAATGATTCTCCTTAACGAAAAAAGAAGAATTCATAATAGATATTTGCGATATATATTTGTCGCAATATCTTAAATATATTTACCTTAAATATGTGATGGCAACTCCACGATTTAGATGATTCGACTCGTGATCTATTAAATCTGCGGATTCGATCCACCTATGCCCCACGTATGTGGTTTTTTCGCATTTATAGGAAAATATGATACTATTGTCTTATACTATCTTAAATATTCATCTTTTCAAAGATCGTTATTGCGATTGCGAAAATATAAGATAATCTCCCTATTTGAGGTCAATATATAAATATATATATATATATATATATATATATAATGACAATTCAAAAATCTTTTTTAAAAGATATAAAACACTAGCTAATTTTGTACTCGTACATGCCAAATATTCTATATTTATACAGAATAGAAAAACTTACTTTGTCAAACAGCGCCCGAATAATTAGAAAAGTATGCTGCAGAATACATTTTTTCACAGCTGCAGTTCAGAATTTTGTGTAGGAATAAATAAGCAGTAAACTCTCTGCTTCCGATTTTGTAGCTCCCGTTGTTTCAAAGGCTTGAAAAGATCTCAAATGAGGACTCGTCATTTAAAAGGGCAATATATGTATAAGAGCAATATCTAACATGTCATTTTTAATTGTCATATGAAGTGAATTTGTCTGTTAAATGTTAGGACCAAATGCATGAGAGGGTTAACGATGCGTATGATAAAGTGACGTTGTGTAATGTGCATTATAAAAATTTCTTTTTTCTTGTACCATTGGCATTATGCCGATTATAAGCATCGACGTCATCTTGAATAAAAACATTTACATGTCACGGTTCTGCTCATTACAAAAAAGCTCACTATTGTCATCTACGTTTATAATATTTTTTAAATATATATCATAAGTGTAATATTTTTAGTTTTTCACACACACGAGCGTTTCCGTTAAGTTTCGATGTATGTAATATCAGCGCATGTGATTCACGCAAAAGCTTATTCTTTATGCAAGTACTGCCTTACACATCTTCTATATATGTCAATCGAAACAATACAAAAGTTTATTACGGTAAAAATGTCAATAGCTTTTTAGGCATCTTTACGACACCTTTTAAACTTTTGTGTTGTTTGTAAGAGAATTTAGTAAAAAAAGCCAGCCACATTAAAAGAACATGTAATACATCTAGATTGAAGTTACAAGATGTAATGTCATCATGCATATATATCTTGCTTCTGCGGTTCTCTATAAACAATAATGCCCATAATTTCTAATCGCTTTAAGAAATATTTACTGGACGGATTAACGGCAGCTTTGACGTCTCGCAAGAAATGTCGCGATAAATTATTATAAAATGAAAAGAAAAGATATTATAATAAAAGGATAAGACGAGATGAATATCCAAGAATGCCGTGCGTTATAAGAGAAATACGTTTAGAACATAATAATATGAGATTCAGAAATAAAAGAGAATATATTATATTAAAAATATTAAAAATTATGGATTCTCTTTTTCAAATTGACTTTTGCCTTGAAATTTATTATCGGTTGAGAGAGAGAAAGAGAGAGAGAGAGTTTGTGTGTGTGTGTGTGTGTGAGCGAAAGAGAGATATGTATGCATAATATATAATTTAAAAAGGTCAATTTTTTTGTTATAGTTTGGTCCATATTAATTTCACAATTAACAAAAATCTTGATTCAAATATTTTATGTTGTACATTTTATCTCGTCATTATTTTATTTGGTATTTTATTTGAAACGCGAAGTAATAGCGATTGATTGTAAACATTTTCATTCTGCTGCGAATAATTAAACAAGTAGATATTTTAATGACAAATAAGAAATCGCAAACTATTTATCAGAGCGCTAATCGAATTACCGTATAAGCCTTTTGAAATTATTATTGCTATAAAAATATGCATATTAAAACTAGAAATATCAGGCTAGAGCGTAGTGGACGGTAGTAGTTATAATTGTTGACGACGACGATGACGACAATTACGATGACGCAAGACGTAATGACGATGATGTGAAGAGAGATAATAATAATATACCAGACACATGATTAATATTTTATTGAATCATTATATTTTACTAATTATTAAACATATACACACACACACACACACACACACACACACACACACACACAAAACTAAATCGATATGATTATGTATGAATAAAAACGTACATATATAGAATATATTACAATTCTTCTGTACATTCGGCTCTTATTATTTTACTTTCCTATTTAAACATTTATATATTTTAATCCTTACTTACAATGAAAAATCAACATATTTTACAACCCTACTTGTAATTAAAAATCGACATTGTATTATTTCAAATCTAGTAAGCAGATTTTTTTCTATGTAGATCATTGAATGAATGGTATGAATAATTTAAAAAAATGATTCGAATTTTTACGAAAAATGATTAAATTATTTTAGTATTTACCATCAATAATTTTGACAAATAATTGATTGCAATAAAATATTTACAATTATATTAATTTCATAAATTGTTATATACGTATAATTTTTTTCTAGTATGTCTCTAAAAAATATATACTTTAATACATATATTTTAACATTGCGTATTTAAAAATATATAATAGGTATAATATAAGAAATAAATATATAATAAAAAAAAGTGAATTAAATTTTATATGTATAGAGATTTTTTTATTTATTTTCATAATATTGCCGGCACTGAATAAAAATGGTCGCTATTGATGTTTGAATTGACTACAAAATGGCGGCACCAATAAGAAAACAAGTATTGGTGTCGTTTCTGGAGGATGATGCGTACGCATGATAGTTTTCGTTCTGTCGCATTGCATATTCGATGAACGTTCTGTTCATATAATGCAATCTAATGTCATGTATCGCGCTGTCAAAATTTCATGTCGTGCGTTCGACTCGTGGTATTCGTTACGATAAACTTGTTATATGTTAATGTCAATTAAACCTCGTAGAAATGGTGAATATAGATACTATACGAAAGAATTATCCACTGCACTGGCTCGTCTGGCATAACAGCTATGTAGAACTCGACAAGGAACTGTCCACAAATCAGGTTTGTGCATACCTGCTGTTTAACAAGCTTATTTCATTTGATATTAATTAGATTCCGTACGCCAACGCAACGGCACACGTGATTAACGATAATTGTGCGTTTTATTTGCTTTTATGCTCTGCGACTTTGCCCTCCAGGTGCTATGTGTCAACAGCTCTATTATCAATGATAACGAGTCTTCTTCACGTAATTGACATTCTACAATGAACCAATAATTGCGTAATTGTTCGATGCAGATGAATAGCACGATATTGTATACGTGCATTCGTCTGCTGGTAGTTTGAATAACGCATTTGTCATTTCAAAGTATTTTCAGTGCATCCTTTTTTTCATACGCTCTATCTGATTTTGTTGTGAGAGATATAATAATTACTCAGCATAATTTTATCTGATTCTACGAAATTCTCTCAATACAGCTAGTCTCGTATATTTCATGATAAATATGCTTATAGAGATAATAAATTATGTAACACAAATCATTCATACAGACACGAGAAAGAAATGTTTAAAATAAAAGGTTAAAAGCATTTTATATTACAGCATCTGTATTCATAATTCATGAGGATATGAACATAGATATATATATGCAACATTTTTTAAAAAATCCATATAAATAAAAATGTTGAAAAAAAGGAAAATAATATAATAAATATGTGTTATTTTATATTATGAAAGAATTAATATTTTTCTTTTATTAATAATAGTGTTTCTGTTTTTGAAAAATAGTTATATGAGTGAGAATAATAAAAATACGTTGTCAGTTTTAACAAAAATGAGAATCTCTTTTATTAACTTTCAAATTATTTTTATTTTGAATTGAAATTAATTGCATAAAATACATTAAAGTTTCACATTTACAATAAGCGGTGTAAATAGCATTATCAATTATAATTTAATAATGTAACAAAATAATTTATATAATTCATTCTTTGTATGTTATATTTATATCCATAAACGCATATATATTCGTAATTATATATTCTTTTAAATTTATGATTGCACAATTGAATTGAGCTTATAGTAGTAATGCAAGTTAAAAATATCTGAAGCCTTTCATAAAAAAGAGAGAAACCTTAGATATGACTTACGATTCCTAATATACTGTTGAAGCAGAGAATCAATCTGATATATTTTATAATACGAGGAGTACATTTTAAATAATATATTATTTAAATTATAAAATAAATGCAAAGTAAATATATGCTAAAAGAAAAATTAAAAATACAATATTGAAATAATTATTTTAGTTAATGTAAATTGTAATATTTAAATATTTTCTAGCATGATATAGAAAAACATGACAATCGAGGAAGGACACCACTAATGTTAGCAGTAACCTTAGGTCATGCAGATTCTGCTGTAGTATTATTACAGCATGAAGCTAATGTTAATACAGAGAACACTCAAGGATGGACTGGTAATTTATTTGGTTTTTGTGTTTTATCTGTCTGTATAATCTTTTTGGACGTTTATACTTTTAACAATTTAATTTATTTTTATTATAATCAGTTTAATTTATTTTGATATAGTGGTTCAAGAAGCAGTTGGTACAGGAAATCCTGAATTGCTGCAATTGGTACTTGCTAGAAGAGATTACCAGAGATATTGTAATCGAGTGGCTGGTATACCAGAACTACTTCATAAACTTAAACAGGTCAGTTTTATCTAATAACTAATACGTTATTAATTCAATTTATACAGTTCCCACAAAATATATCTCTTTTGAAAGAGAAATTCTTTTCTGCAAGAATTCTGTAAATTAATAATAATCCTAATGTTTCTTGTGTGGCCTATCATTATGTGAAAGCTAATTGACTTTCTCATATTCTTGATTGTTAATAATTTGATAGTCTTAGTAATAGAAATCCTTTTCAGGCGCCTGATTTTTATGTAGAAATGAAGTGGGAGTTTACAAGTTGGGGTAAGAAACAGAATTTAATGACATCTGCTTATAATCTTCAAGATCTACAATTTAATCTATAATTTGGATCTAACTGCAATTTATACACTTATCTAATTCATTTTTAATAACATGTGGTTAAATGTTATTGTTTCTGTTGACTAGTTCCTCTTGTATCTCGGATGTGCCCAAGTGATACATATAAAGTTTATAAACAAGGTAGTAATGTGAGAATTGATACTACTTTATTAGGCTTTGATCATGCAAATTGGCAACGTGGTAATCGAAGCTATGTTTTTAAAGGACAAAGTAAGCACAGATATCTTTAATGAATATATAATAATCTTATTAATATTCATGCATGAATAACGTACAATTGTATTTTTTTAAATTGTGATTGATTATATGTTTTGGGAATGTCAATTATTTGTTTATTATTAAATTGTATATGTTAATACAAGCAATTTTACCAATTAGATGAACGCAGCTGTGTGTTTGGATGGTCATCACACAGATGATACATTTTAACATTTAATTCGCGCATTACATTGTTAAAAATTTTATAAAAATATTATTTTTATGCATAAATACAGGGGACTTTTTAATACTAACACTATATGTTTCGTATTATAATTTCTTTTTTTTTTCATTCTCTTTTTTTGTTCCCATTAATTTTTATATAACTGAATAAATTGATGATTAAAAATAATATAAGACAAGATATTTTTATATCACACATATACATATACAATGTTTAGATAATGTGCAATATGATATGATAATATAACAAAGTCATATGGTTTTTTTTATTGAAATAATTCAGTATAATAAAATACTTCATAAAATTTATGACATTTTTTTGTAGATGATGGGGCAACGATGATGGAAGTAGATCACGAAACGAGAAAAGTTTATGTTGAACATATGAAACTTATAGGAGATGATAATATACAATTATTGGAACCATCTGAAGAAGGTGTAATAGCTCGACTTACTAATCCTATAGTTACAACTTATATAGATACAGATAAAATTAGTTTTGAACGGTAACTATCTATCATTACAATATTTAATAATGTTATATACATATTTATATATATGTACATAATTTGTTCGTATCTATTTCAACAATATTGTTTATGTTGAATTAGCAATAAAGCAGGTCTGTGGGGATGGCGTTCTGACAAAAGTGAAGTAATAAATGGTCATGAGTGTAAAGTGTTTAGTGCAAGCAATGTAGAATTAATAACTAAAACCCGATTAGAGCACTTATCTGAAGCAGATAAAGCAAGGGCTCGAGCACCAAGAACACCTTTACAATCATTTCTTGGTATTGCAGAACAGCAGCAAGAGAGTTGCAGCACTGTCGCTACCAGTGTAATTTTTTTTCAATAATTAATCAGTTATTACATATTTAAAATAATATTTAAAATTATTAATCAAGATATATATTTTAGAAAGAATTTAACAGTGTAGGGAATTCTTCTAATATAACTGCTGAGGAATACTTTGACCCAGCTGTAGATTTAAATGGAAGAGACATAGGTAGACCAAAAGAAGTTAATACAAAAATACAAAAATTTAAGGT